CTGACTGTAGGCAGTCGTACCGTCGACTCAGTGCAGTTGCACTGAGGTCCTACCTGTTGACCTTGCTACTTGTCTTCGTCTGAAAACGTGGGCCTACCTTAGACTCACCACTTGACCACTTGCCGACCTTCTAGAAGGACTAAAGCTAGGCCTCTGGACTCTACTTGGACTCCTACCTTACAGGTCTACAGTTCGAATCTCCCTACAGCCTACAACCTACGGCGACCTACTTACCACTGGCTATCGTGCAGGTCACGGGTTCAACTCCAGGCAAATGTGCAGATACTGTACACAGGTAAGCTGAGGTCAAAGGATCGACCCCTGGGATCTGCCTCGGCTACTGCCAAAGGTGAAAACTGTTTCAACTGACTGAAATGCTTTGCTTGTGACAGATGTGTTGTTCGGTGCTCTAAGAGGCAGAACCAAGATTTGAACTTGAGGCACTGTTTGCCAGTGTGCTGGCAACGCTGCTCCCAGCCTCCGGCTTACAGCACTGCCTAGTTGGAGACAGAATGGCTAGTGGCTCTGCAGGTCCACTGGCTGCACCTGCCCCGTGGTGTGAGACATTAGCATGGTTGGAGGCTATTGGCTCTGCAGGTCGAGCCAGCAGGTCTGGAGACATCCACCAGATTCACTGCAGGTCCAGAGAAAGCAGGCCAGGTCAGCTGCAGGTCCAGAGTGTGCCTGTTGGATATTGTCTATTGCCTATGCAGATCCACTGGCTGGAGCTGCATCTAAGACTACCAATAGCCAATAGCCGCTCTCTGGCTATTGACGATGCAGGTCAACAACCTGGCCTCACAGTACGAGGATCTCGAGGCATGCAGCAGCAGGTCTGGAGGCATCCACCAGGTCCACTGCAGGTCCAGAGAAAGCAAGCCAGGTCAGCTGCAGGTCCAGAGTGTGCCTATTGGATATTGTCTATTGTCTGCTTAACTGCCTGGCCTCACATTATGATTTAGGATCTCGAGGCATGCAGGATTTAAACTGCCACACAAAGACATCAAGACGGTGGGCCAGCGTGCTGCAAGTAGCACTGATCTAACTCACAATGCACTGACCATTGGCTATTGGCTATTGACAATGCAGGTCCATTGCCCGGTCCCACGGTATGAGGATCTTCAAGCATCTGGCACAGCTTGCTGCCTTCTGGAGTGTTTTACCAAAGCATCACTGGGGGTACGGAATCCTTCCCCTGATGCCATGACTGGCACAGCTGCAAGTTCCTGGCCAAGAAGTCGGCGCTTGCAAGACCGGCAGGAGTCCATGTAGAGTTTGACCAAGGGAGCATCACGAGTATTGACCTCCTGCCGTCATTACAACGGAAACTCCATGGCTTCAAAACTTGTCGGCAAGACATATTGCAATTTGGACGGGAGAGGCAGGAGTTAGTCGCCTTCCAACTGCCAGAAAGTTTATGCCATTTTCATTGGAGCCGAATAAATGCTTTGGAGGCCAAGTGCCAGTGAAAGATGTGGTGCCCATTGCAGGACTGATTCTTTGCTGTCGTCTTTCCCACCCAACCCAGGTTGGGGTGGTGTAACCCTCAACCTTAGAAGGAGGGGCTAGAAGTCCCACTTTTGGGGGGAGGACTCAAATTCTACTTATGGTGCTCTGTCAAACGCTCCCAAAAAAGCTCAACGCGTCAACACCTTTGTAGAGAAGCTGGGACCATGGAACTGATGCAGTTCCATTTTGGAACTGTTGGAACTGTTGGGACTGTTGGAACTGTTGGAACTGTTGGAACTGTTGGAACTGTTGGTACTGTGCACATTCGGACGGGGAGGGAAGGCTGTGAAGTTATGAAGATACGCTGACTGATGCGTTTTTAAACTTTTTTTTATAAGAAAAGTTAGAAAACTTCTCTCAGCAGATGAGCGGTGACACGTTGGCAACTTCGTGTATCGTAGTACAAGCTCTCTTGCATGATACATATTCTAGGAGCCATGAATGCCTTATCTGTTTCATTCGGTGACACGCTTCAAGTTATGGGCAATGGTGTGGCTTCAGAAAATGTGGCCACACGTTTTTGTACGCAAATCAGAGTCCCTCACCTTCAAAAAGATTTCACTCGCCATCTCTCGCATGGAGTTCGATCACGAATGGACTGTGCTTGGCGTCAAAGCGGAACGGTTTTTGGACACCGACGGGTACACAAGGATTCACCTTGTGTGCTTAGTGAAAGTGTGCGCTGCATGTCCTTTGGGACATCCCTTAAAAGAATTGGAACAACGCAGAGAACATTGGCATGGCCTCTGTGCAAGGATCGCACGCACAAATCGAGAAACGGAAGTGCGGACTGCACCTCACCAACTATGTTATACGGAGATCCGTTTCCAGTCCACACCCGGTGTCGGCTTGATGTTTGCCCTGGCCGAGAGATAGAAGCGGCTTCTTCTTTGGGAATATGGAAAGAGAAGGTCTCAGAGGCTTCCTCTACAAAACTAGAACTTTCGTCAAGGAAATTCATTGGTACTGGCTTGGGAGGAGCTGGGATTTG